GTTTTCGTATGCGAATACCAGAGTCTCTTCTCTTTATGTTTCCATATGTAACAATAAATAAAATATTGGAAAGATTTATCCTCGTTTGATTTTGGTTTTAACTACGGTTTTCGGATTGCATACATGGATGTTGGATGTTCATTGAAGTGTAATTCTGAACATGTACATACGTACTTGGTGCTCTAGTAGTATCTACTGAAATTTTAAACAACTTTCTGTGCTAACTCTCATGATCGAATGATACATTTTTAGGAAAGCAAAAGAATCTCCATACAAAGTATAATTATGCGTATAATTCGGATATTTGATTTTCCTTAATGCTTCATATTTTTCACATAATCTCATATCGCAATATGTTACAATTGAGAAAGAAGTGAGCGCAGAAATGGACACATTCCATGTGATATGCTCTTTAATATTTAATCGTCTTAATATGGAAGCAATGCGACGTACACTCTCGGAAGGTTTCGAGTGAAATAATTAGCTTCAACGTTCTATACATTATACATCTACAGTAATCTACACAATGCTTTTACCTCTTGCAAACGTCAATGAACGCATGCGCATAAATGAATATCGTGAATAGTCTCTCATCATTATCAGGATCGTATAAAATGGAGATAGAAAAAAGAGGAAATTTAATATACAGAAAAATGTAGCAAAATAATTTGCCATACTCTCACTAGTAAATGGATCAACTATTTTTTCGAAACGTTTTCGAATACCGCTTGAGAAGAACAGAAAGATTAATTGCATTTCGAAAAGCGAACAAATATTAATTGTATAACCGACCTATTGATTTTTTAAAATGTCGTTAATCAGCTTGTTTCTCGATGTATATAACATATTAAAGCAGTCTCGTTAATTAAAACTCACGGATCATACAGTCGAAAAAGAATTTTGTTCCGTCCGATTAACTTTCTCGTGCAGCCCCATCGCGTCTTTAAATTAACATTTTATATACAAATAATACATTTGAGTATATGAGGTAAGTATGCAAGAGAATTAAAACGTATTGCAGGAAAGAGATGATGTGTGCTAATAAGTTTAAGACGGATATCGCATACTAATGTTTAACGTTTTGCATATTTGTTTGTATCGGATGACTATTTTAGAATCGTGAACGCCAATACATGTCCTACGTGAATAACACGAAAGGAAGGCTGTATATGCACTTTGTACGTATGTAATATCTTGCACATACATATATTTGAATTTACGCTTAGCGAGCTCTCGGTGATCTACGGATAACTGAGTTTCGAGCACCTGGCAGTCAGCCAACGCGGCTGAGAAAAACAGCGTGTTATCACTTTAATCTTTCATTACGAAATTTCGTACACGCTTATTAAATTTCGTACAAAACTATTTCAACGGTTGAAGGATTCACACAGTATTGTTAAATATATATAATTTATTGGACGATATAAAAAACATTTTTTAATACCCTCTCATTTTTCGCATGAAATAAGTATAAATTCTGTTAACAATCTCGTGAATTCGATTCACATGAAAACGTGTTCACGTGTAAAATTTATGTATATATATATCTTAATAAATAATAAATATTGTATCAACATTGTAAGTTACTGTAAAATACTGTTAACAATCAATTTGGAAGAGATTCGGCCATGCGTTTGTTAGGAGTCGGTGTAATAATTTACATCGTTATTGATATGATAATTTGTTATGTAAACGGGTTATAAATGGAAGAGTTTGTACAAGTGCACTGCAGTTGAACAAAAATTCATCATTATGCATAAAGACAAAGAAAAAGCTAGGTCACATGTTTCAATATATAGTACTTTATAGTTAGAACAGTTTTACGGAAATGTGTTTGTGTGTCGTGAATGACCATGCATAAATACATGTTTACAATCACTAATTACAGTTTGGTGAAGTGGAGATAGTGAGTGCTTTCGAAAAGGTCGTTGTATAGCATAATTTCCACATAATGATTTATTTTATGGAAAATGTCGATAAATTCAGCTATTTCAGTCTATTATAGCCTTATTCTGAAGATCAATCTACTTAAATAAATTGCGTGAAATACTGTCTTTCTTTACTATTATTAAATTTTATTTACCTATCTATATGCATGTATGTATTATGTAT